TTCAGCCCATGTTTTCCCTTGAAATAGGCTACCTATATTTTTTTCGAATAAATGGGATTTCATTGCTCAAAAGAATTACATAAAAAAGCCATTTCTTATCAAAAGCAAAGATAGGCTACGGTGCTATGATTGAATTGTTGAACTGCTTCTTGAATTTCTAAATGAAGTCCTCCTATGAAGACCCTCATTGTTGAGGATTCTGGTAGGTGAGTTCCAGTAGAAGTGTTTCAAACCCCTAGTAATCTCCTAATACGTCGCACTTCTATCACACTAGCTCCATCATCGCAGTTTGGCAGGACTTCGTGGCTGAAAACCTTTGATATCAATTACGTGTAAAGACTAGTGTGCAAATCATTAGACAACCCTTACAGCCACATCTTCCTCTATCTATATTAATCCCCTAACTAACGAACTAACTTTAACCTAATTAATCACTCTTAAACCCTTAATAAACATGTTATACCTCTTTTATGTGTATCTTTGTCTTTATTTTCTCTAATGAAATTTCCCTTTCATGACAGCTAAATGCATTACAATATAGAAGAATGGATTTTGAAGAATTTGTGCAGCTGCATTAAGTGTGCATCAGCTTGAAGCTCTAGATCGATGGGAACAACATTCACGCTGTGCTTATGAACTTTTTGAGAAAGATGGAAACAGAGCTATTATCATTGAAGAACTTGCTTCAGTAAGTTTTGAACATTCAAAACCCTATTATAATTGATCAGCTATTTAAAAATGTGTGAGGAAGAAAAATAGGAAACTAATTTATATCTTTCCTTCTCTAATTGAACTTTTAATCCTGCCATGGTTCTTGTTAGTTTTCCACAACTACAAACAACAATAACAAACAGCCTTGTCCCACAACTCAACTATATGAACATTAATTGTCTTTATTAACTATTCAATTATTTATTAACTTGGTGCGAAGTAGAGTAACTAAGTCTGGCAGCGCAATTTAGGTTGGTTGTAGTCAAAACCCTGTACCATGTTAGATTCAACTATTGCCACTTTTAGGTGGTCATGAACTTGAGTGATAAACTGACAATTAGTTCATGAGACTATGGCTAATCTTCATCATATTCTTCCGAACGCTGTCTAGGAACTAGGACTTGGCCCTTCTATTCCAGTTCATGTCGTACTACAGGACTGGATAAGGCACACTGACGGGAAGCTAAGCTTTCTCGGGTTCGTGAAATTGTTACATGGTGTATCGAGCCGAAGTCTTGCAAAGGTTCAATAATTTCCTCCTGGACAAGCTGAATTTCTCTGTTATCTCCGAGGAGATCATTATAAATGTGCATGTCAAGAGCGTTCTTGCTATACAGTATAGTTTGATACCGAAATGTGTGTTACAGTGATTCTTTTGAAGGAGCTCAAACTATGAAAAGGTCTTGGTGGTCAACTGGTCATAGGTTAAGACAAATTGTAGAGTTTTCAGAGTTAGCTTTGCCTCAATGAGTATGCTAATAATTTTATGTTAAGACAAATTGTAGAGTTTTCAGAGTTAGCTTTGCCTCAATGAGTATGCTAATAATTTTATGTTATTTCATTTTCGAGTCCTCTCTTTTTCCCTTTTTAAGCTGTCTTCTCTGTGTTTTTGTTGTATATGGTAATTTTCACTTTCTTTGAATCAATTAAATTTCTGCAATCACCTTGACTTTCGTGAACTGTTTTGGATATGATTTTACTTCATCAAAGACTGGCCATACACACAAAATTTTGCAATATTATTTTAAGAAGTATCAATGGTTAAATCTCAGCTTCTCGATCCTTGTCAACCATCCGTACCGACAATGATGATGATGGAGCTCCAACGGCAGCACTAATGGCTATGATGGAGGAAGGATATTTATGTAAATATATTTTAAATTTTAATTCCCTTTTAGTTGCTTACAACTCATAAAGTTTCTCTAATTTAAGACATTTATTAGAAATAAAGTCTCTGAGGTACAAAAAAAAAAAACTAGACGCTTAATTCGCCTGAGGAACTGTGTGTGTTCGTCAAATTGACTTGCCAGCAATCGTTCACTTCTCTTCAAACCAGAACTCCTCCTCCTTCATCAAAGCCCAAATGTATTCACGCATATCACTTCAAGGATCTATTTATATTTAGGAATGGACGGAGGTTGAACTTTCTTTGACGATCAGATCCAAATCGGAAAATATATCTCACCTTCACAGTTGCAGGCAATCGGATGCTCAAGAATGTCCGTAATTTTCTTATCTAAGCATTATGCCGATTCTAGCTGGCGCCTGCAGGGGCTGGAGTAGATCATCAGGTGGCTCAAGTAGTGGCGGAGCCAAATCCTAGGTTAGGAGGGGCGAAATCATTTACATATTCATAATTTTAAAAAAATAACAAAAATTATTTAATAATTATATACTTCATAAATTTTCTCTAAGATTTCATGTTTTAGAATCGTTAAACAGTTGGCTCATTGTTAATGCTTTTAAATATATATTTTTTAATATAAATCATGAGATAATCATTCATTTATAGATTTCCCATTCGATTATGCAATTGAATTTTTACAAATTTTATAATAAAAAAGGCTCTTTTAATTGTTGTTATGGTAATAGGTAACATTATTACTAATTTTAAAAGAAGATAAACTAATGAATAAATAATGTGTCTTTCAGTTTCAACTAATTTTTTCACAAATTTGTTTTGAGATTTCAAACAACAAGGGAGTTTTTTTTTCTTATTTTCTTAAAAGTTTAATAAATGTTAATTTTTTATAAAATAATATTATTATTTGAGTGTATTGAAATTGTGGGCTAAAATATATTGAGTTTTTGAGTTAAAAAAATTAATTTTGGATCTAAGTTAAAAAATAATATGAAATAGTTTACAATGCAAGCTATAATAAAGATGGGGCACAAAATATAAATACCTATACCTTCATTCTTATATAAGTAATTTTTCTCATTAATACATGTGGCTCTGCCATTGGGTTCAAGTTTGCTTGCAATTTGCAAATGTAAAAGATGTATGGCAGCAAGATAATGGCCAACATTGTCTACGAAAACAACCCATTTCAGACTTCTTTAATACATCAAACATGATGATAGATAGCAATGAAGTGGAAAAGATGAAAATGGAGGGAATGCTTTTCTTTGCTTGTACTTGATGATGTGTGTGGCTGTGGTGAATGATTTGGTCTTGGAAGCATAGTATTCATTTCAACAAGAGATGAGCATCTACTTGATCACCCTAGAAGCGGATAATGTATATGAAGAAAAGAAAATGGGCGCAAGTGAAGTGACCCACTTGAGCTTTTAAGTTGGCATGCATTCAAGCAATTCAGTCCATCAAATGATTTTATTTAACTTGTGATTGTTAAGAAATTTTTTTTTTCCTTTTCATTCTGGATGACTTTTTTTTTGGGTAAATACAATAAGTAAGTTTCGTGGACATAATATTTCTGTTGTAGCACTAAGAGCATTGTAGACATTTTCTAACTAAATTACTACATACATAAGGGCCAAGGTTCGAACCTCTGATTACTTATTTAAATGATGAAAACCTTTATTATTTATGCTAATTTTAATTGATTTCAGGTTGTTAAATTGGGCGAGAAAGAAGTTTGATGTTTATTTTCCTTGACGGGCCTGCCATTTGACAACTTGTTGTGATCTTTTTTTTTTTGATAAAGGAGTGGGCTAAGCCCAATTACAAGAAGAAACTAAACAGAGTTTGAGGATTGGGTCCCCATAATCTCCCTATGCACGATGTCCTTTAGGAATAAAGGAACATAATCAAAAATCTCATATTTGTCTATTCCTCTTTTTGCCAACATATCCGCAACACAGTTTTGATGATGAGGGACATAATTAATCTTCACTTTCTAATTATAGAGTAGCAAATTAGAAATTTTTAGCAACACCAAACTACAAGAAGTTCGCACCTCATTTCCTTCTTGGAGAAAGTGAACAAGTACTTTAGAATTAGATTCTAAAATAACCTCTTTGAATCCCATGCCCCATACAAACTTGAGACCCTTTAGCATAGCCCATTCTTTTTCCTCATAAGGATTACAGCTACCAATTTGAGAAGAGAATCTAGCAATCTATACCCCTTTATGATCCCTCAAAACTCCCCCACAATCAGCCTTTTTAGTAGATTGACAGATAGCTCCATCAACATTTAATTTTACCTAACTATGAGATGGAGGTTTTCAAATTTGAGGAATGTCACTTGAATGAATAATATCCGTAGTATTCTCCTCTCCATGAATGGCAAAATAATTCCATTCGTGAGTTTAAGATAATACTAGCTGGATCGAGAGGTTTTTGCAAATTCTGAAAAATGAAATTATTCCTCCACAACCATAACTTTCAAATACCAACACCCCAAATTAGGCTCCACTTATTAGAAAAGTTAGAGCCAAATTTCAACTTAAGATTGATAGTAAACCAGTCACTCAGATTAACAGCAAAGAAATTAAAGTGATACCTTCTAGGGACAAGTTTGTGCCACATACTCTTTGCATAAGTACAGTCCACTTAGAATGTGGAGAACATCCTCATTTGCATCTTGACACCACTGGCATAAAGACGAACAACCAGCCCAAGAACTCCTTCATAAATTACTTGGAAGTCAATTATGAATAGAGATCCACATAAATAAGCGAATTTTTTCCACACCCTTCCACTTCTAGATAAGCTTAAAAACAGGATCATATAAGTCAGGAATTAATTTTTCTATCATGAAACAAGCACTTTTAAGAGTGAAATTTCCATTAGCATTCCTATTCCAAACCATTATATCACATCCAGCACATTGCAGCAGAAGAAGGACAGCAATGAGCTGCTGAGTCACCTCTCGAGGGAGTAATTTTGATATTCGAGCCAAGTCCTAATACCCATACTTAATCCAATTAGCCACACAAGTATTCTTTTCCTCCTTGGTTAATGGTTTGAAAATAAAATCTTGAATTTTCTTATCAGGAAAAAGCCAAACGTCCTCAAAAATCTTGAATTGTTTTTGCCATCCCGTCGCTTTGGCTGAGTGGTTAAGGCGTGTGCCTGCTAAGTAGATGGGGTTTTCCCCGCGAGAGTTCGAATCTTTCAGGCGACGTTCCTTAAAAACTTCTTGTCATCTTGTTTGCTGGGCTTTTTCTCTCCGAACATTCGGCGATAAATGAACTAGGGCCATGCTCAATGAAAGTTGGCCCAATAGGTGTTTCCCCGGAAGCTTTCCTTTCGTGATTTTCTCGGGACCAAAACAAAATTAAATGCATGATTATTTACAATTTAGCAGCAAAATCATAATAATTTTAGTTGTGCTCCGAGTTATAAGTTCGTGGTATTCAATTGAGCTGTGCCACTGCAGTGTTTCGATTTTCTTCTGCGTGATGCTTCAGCTCGCTCTGCCACCTGCACTTGTTTAGGTTTTGTGTGTTTCGCTCCTGCCCTATCCTTTCTCTTCCACCCTTTCTGAGAAATTTCAGGAGGGTCGTGATGTTGTCGAGTCTGATAAGGAGGCTTCTGTGCGTCCCTCTTCGTGTTTGGCGGTGTATCATCTTTGCTTGAGGTATTTCCGCCGTCTTCGCTCTGACCCTTTTTGGCCAAGACGTCAAGTCGCGACCTAAACGGCTAAACCCATTATTCGTACGATTACAGCGGCTAGATCTGCCGCGAGAAGGATCACAGTTTCTATCCGTTGGAAGGGGCCTCAGATTACGCGCGCCTTTTGGCCTTCGGGCTAGCATCCATTCTCCAAATTCTTCCGCTGGTGAGCTTTCTTGAGATTTTCCGGTGACTTATATTTGATGGCGGGAATTGATTTTTGTTGATATGCTGTAGTGTGTTTCAATTTTGATGATTCGATGGTGGTTGAACATTTTCATTTCTGTGGCTTTGGGCTTCCCTTTCTTCAGATTTCTGTTGATTTTTTGGGTCACAGGAGCAATTGGTTTGTTATGCTTCTAGTATCCGCTGCCAAAGCATATTAAGTTGAGACTCTCATCATTCTGAGATCCGTCTCGACACTAATTCGAGCGTATTTCCCTCTTTCTGTCTTTATTGTTCGTTCTCTGATTTAGTGAGGGCGAGTGTCCGCTTTTCGTTCTCCCTATACAATTTCCCATTCTGAGCAAAATCTTGTCATAATACTGAATAGGGATGTTTGAGAGGTGTCCCAAAGAGCGAATTTGCCTAAGGAATTGAGTTAGGATCGAAGCTTGGGGACCATCACTGAACGAGGATACAGTGATCAAAGATGATCCTTGGTCCTCCATTAAGAAGTTTTGGTAGTGTTGTAGGTGTTGAGTTCTAACAATGTAATAATTGTTAACCAGATCAATCAACTCAAACTTCTTCAGATTCCACATTTTAGCTAACACGGGCTTAAGAGATTTTGGGTTGAGTTTGATTCCTAGTGTGGTAATGACCAAAGCCTCTTTCCATGGTTGACAGAGTTGTTTCCATTCTCCATTGGATATAGGAACCATAGGATAATGGACCATAAGCTTGTTTGTTTCTTATAATGGGGAGTGGGGACCATTCTTTTTCAGTTTCTTCAACAAGCAATTTGTCCACAATGGCGGTATTATGAGCTTCACTGATTCCAAGCATCTGTTGCATTAAGTTGGGAATCTTTGTAAGAGATTAGAGGTTTGATTGCTTTAATTTCATTTATCAGATTATTGTTGCTTGTTCTTGATGTTTCTGCTTGAAATTCCATGGGTTGATCTGCTGTAGTAGTATTAAGATTGTTATCATTTGCTCTTGTTGTTTCAACATGAAATTCCGTGGGCTGATGTGTTGTGGTAGCGTTCAATTTGAGTGTGTTTCTGCTAACGAGATCCTCTTCATCCTTTGAAGCAGGATGGTTATTGTTCCAGTGCATTGTTGATAGCTGTGAAGATCATTTTGCATAGAAGAACAGAGAAAACAGGGCAAGGGCAGGGGAAATCTGAGGGGAAGAGGCTGGAGCTTCTCACTAAAAGAATTGATAGATAGATAATCTAGATAAAGTGGCACTCCACTCCTCGTCGTCTCCATAAACAAGCCTTAATTTTCCAGAAAAAAAGGTTTCAAGTCTGAGATCAAGACTGCCAAAACAGAATGGACCAATCTTTTTTGGTTATGCTCTCAAATCTGCTTCACCTCCACAATTCCTTAGATCCCACCACCTCCCTCCTCTCCGACACCCTCTCCTCTGCCACTACCACCACCTCTGCCACTGCTTCCTCTGCTGCTGCCGCCTCCTCTGCCACTTCACCCACATCTCTTCTCTACTCCTCCTCCATCGCCCCACTTCTCTTTTTCACCATTGCTTCTGTTCTCTCTTACATTGCCTCCTCTCGTCCTACTCCTTCTTCACCCACCTCAATCTCGACTGCCACTCCTCCTGCTTCGTCCGCAACAGCCTCTGATTTCTCTGTTTCGGCTTTCCGAGCTCTCTCTACAGAACACATCTGGTCCCTTGAAGCTCCTCTTCGCGACGCACACTGGCGTTCACTTTATGGGCTTTCTTACCCTGTGTTCACCACTGTCGTTGACAAGCTCAAACCTCATATTGCCATTTCCAATCTTTCGCTCCCTTCTGATTATGCCGTTGCTATGGTCCTTTCTCGTCTTGCACATGGCTTTTCTGCGAAAACCGTCGCTACCCGCTACTCCCTGGAGCCTTATTTAGTCTCCAAGATCACCAATATGGTTACTCGACTTCTAGCGACCAAACTTTACCCAGAATTCATCAAAATCCCAGTTAGTCGTCGCCGGCTAGTTGAAACGACCCAGGCTTTTGAAGAACTCACTTCCCTTCCGAACATGTGTGGAGCAATTGATACAAGTCCAGTGAAGCTCCATAGCCTTCCTAACGACCAGAAAATTCCCACAAGCTATAGATGCAGATACGGGTATCCCTCAGTTCTCCTTCAGGTTGTTGCTGATCACAAGAAGATCTTCTGGGATGTTTGTGTTAAAGCTCCTGGCGGTGCAGATGATGCCACCCATTTCAGGGATAGTTATCTGTACAATCGGCTTACCTCCGGTGATGTTGTGTGGGATAAAGTTATCAGTGTCAGGGCTCACCCTGTTCGTCCTTACATTGTTGGAGACTGGTGTTATCCGTTGCTGCCATTTTTGCTCACACCCTTTTCTCCTAATGGCATGGGCACGCCTGCTCAGAACCTGTTTGATGGAATGCTTATGAAGGGAAGGTCGGTGGTGGTTGAGGCAATCGGATTGCTGAAAGGGAGGTGGAAGATTCTTCAGGATTTGAATGTCGGTCTTAGTCATGCACCACAAACAGTCGTTGCATGCTGCGTGTTGCATAATTTATGTCAAATTGCGAGGGAACCAGAGCCAGAGCTATGGAAGGAGCCTGATGAGAGTGGGCCTCAACCAAGGGTGCTGGATAGCGAGAAGTCATTTTATTTCTTTGGGGAAAGCCTGAGGCAAGCTTTAGCTGATGATTTGCACCAAAGGCTTTCCTCAAGATAAGGGCACATGAAGTTCTGCTAGAATATTGATGTGCAAGTGTCTTCTATGAAGCATGTAGCATCTGTAGAATGCTTATGAGTGAGTTTTAGTTTCAAATAATTTGTGAGTTTGTGACTATGACGCAGTAGGAGATGATCTGTTGCAACATCAATCGGAATGTCTTGTGAGTCCTGAATCGGAGGGACGTACTGACGTAGAATTGTAACGAGAAATTTCAGACAAATATAACAGAAATGAACGATTAAGCAGAATTGCTTCCTGGCCAAAAAAAAAAAAAAGCAGAATTGCTTCGGTCTGGGATCTTTGGTCGTTGGTACCTTGTATAGCATTTATTAATCGTGTGAAATTGTGAAGCCGAACTGTCCTCTCTATTGGCGCACTGATTGCTACAGTCTCATTGTATATTTGCTTGGATCAACAATTGACTTTATAAGGAACAAGCTGGCACATGAATGCCCTAAAATAAATCACATTATTCATATAAGCAGCAACTGCGAAACAAATTATTACATATATCTGATAATTCTACGTAACATGTAGAGCTTGCTAACAAGTTAAGACGATATCCAAGTTCAGGATGCTGTGCTGTAGGCACGTGGGGTTTCTCATTTTGATGTCTAATTTTATCTATTAGGTTTATCTGGATCAAGGATGTGCTGCTGGCAAGCCATGGAGGCTGATGTCTTGTTTCTAGTATCTGGGGCATGGGCATAACTGCGTACTCCTTCTTTAAAAGTAATTTTTGATTCGAAATATAGGACATTTTATAATAATTAAATTATTTTTTTTAATTTTATTTTTTTTTATTAGTGTAAAGGTATTTAATATAATTATATTATTATTTAAAGTTAAAGGTAAAAGTGAAAGTATTTCTCACTTTTTTATGATGTAAAAAGAAAAAAAAATTCTTAATATATGTCAAATGGCTTAAAATGTCCTACAATAAAGACTAGAGGGAATATATTTTTAGAGTATTATACATAAACTAATTACTTACACATATTATTTTTAAAATATATAAATACAACATTTATATATAACATAACATAATATAATTTGATTTAAAAGTTAAACTAATTTTTTTTGAATAAAAAGTTATTCATTCATATCAAAAGCTAAAGAGATCAAAATACCTCAATGAGATCATTTTTTTTCCCTTCCTCTCCTTCTCTAATGAAAGATGGAGGATGGTTGAAGAAAGGCCTACTTTTAAACAAAGTATGAGTTCTCTTAGCAAGCACATCGACGTTTTTAGCATAGTGCCTAGAAATAAAGTTTAAATTAACAGACCGATCTCTTCTTAAAATTAGTTTAACTTTCTAAATAGTATCTCAAAAAAAGATGATTCTGTAAGGAATCTCTTATGATCATGTTGACAGCATTGGCACAATTGGAAATCACATTCACTTTCCTGATCGCAAGAAATGTTAAACTAATTTTATTAAATCATTCATATATCTATAAAATCCATGTTGCATAGACAAACGTTCTTGGGTGATATTTCAGTAATTTTATTAAACTAATTTTTTTGCCTTCGCTAGTCACCACACCACTTGTCAGTGGCCTCTCAAGTCTCAAGTCTCAATGCCGACATTCACAACGTAACTCTCTCGCAACCTCCGCGTCAATCTCCCTCAGCGGTGCACTGGCACCTCGCCCACGTAGGGGTGAATATTCAGTTGTTCGGTCAATTCAATTTCAATTTTTTTTAAATTAATCAATTAAATTATATAAAAAATTTAAATCAAATCGATTCGAAATACTTAATCAAACTAAATTAAAATAATTTAATTCAATTAGTCAATTTAATTTATGAGTTTTAATTTGGATCTTTATAGTCTAATTATTTATATATTTTTATTTTTTTTCTTGATGTTGAAGGCTTAATCAAAAAAATAATAATTTTATACCATAATTTATGAGAAAATTAATAAAATTTAATACCATTGCATTAAAAATTAAATTATAAAAATAAAAAATAAAACATCACATTAAACAAAAAAATACTGCTATTTTAAGTGATAGAAAGATGTTTTACTCACTGATCGACTGACTTAAACAAAAAATTTGGATTGAATTGAATTAAAATACTTAATCAAACTAAATTATAATGATTTGATTTGATAGGTCAATTTGGTTCATGAGCTTTGATTTGAATCTCTAAAGTCTAATTGTTCACATATATTTTTATCCATTTTTTTCTTGATGTTGAAAGCTTAACAAAATAATAATAATCTTATATCATAATTTATAAAAAAATTAATAAAATTTAATACTGTTGTATTAAAAACTAAATTATAGAAATAAAAAACAAAATATCACATTAAGCAAAAAAAAAAAATACTACTGCTGTAAATGATAGAAAAATGTTTCTTACTCATTGATAAATATTTAATCACCTTTTTAAAAATATAAAATATATATATATATATATAATTTAATTGGTTCAATTTATTTGATTTAAGAATTTTTAAATCAAATTAAATTAATTAGTCAAAATTTTTATTAAAAAAATTAAATCAAATTATATAATTAAAATTCAAAATTTTTATTAAAAAAATTAAATCAAATTATATAATTAAATAAACTGAATCAAGTAAATTTTAATTTGATTCGATTTTCAGTTTCGAATTGATTTAGCTTGCCCACCCACTTCGTCTCAGGCTCGTTCACCGGCGCACTGGCATCTCACCCGCAGACTTCGTCTCTCCTTAGTAGTGCAGATCTGCCTCTCGGTCTCTGAATATTTGTCTCCATCTCCATCTCTGTTTATTGTCAACGTTCGCCTGTCACTTTGGAAGCAAAGGGTTTTGTCAGTCGTCAATTAAATGAAATAGCATGCATTTTGTTTTCATTTCCCCCCTTTAGTAGCACAGTGCAAAGTTGATTGAGATTTGAGAAGCCATTTAACCGTGTCTCATAGTGCATGTCACAACTGAGTTCTGAACCCATAATTTGTTCTTCCTTTATGTACTAGAATATAATTGATTCATACTAATTATATTAACAATTTACTCACTGGTTCATTTACATCGCTGCTGGCTTTATCCCAGCCATTGACTGCGGACGAACTTCATCATCTGAGGGAGCAATTTGCTTTGTTTATATAACTTGGACAACATGCGGTTTGTCACCCAAAATGATTGATTGGATTATAGTCTGTCTTTGACACGCACCTCCTCCATCTCCCCTGTTAGCGCACGATGCTCCCTGTTCGGTGCAGAAAATCTCCGTGAAGTCGTCTCCTTTCGACTCTTCCAGTCCTATCTTCTTCACTTAAAACCCTAGTTTTTGTTGTCTTCCCCAAATGGGTCTTCTAAAACCCCATAATTGTCGTCCACTATCATCCCTTTGCTCACCCTCCGATGCCCATCTAGCTAATAAGGCAATCATATATCTTAAACGCCATCCTCAACAACTGAGTTCTCTATCTTCCCAGTTCACTCCCGAAGCAGCTTCTTATCTACTCTTGAAATCCCAGTTCGACCAACCTATTACCCTGAAGTTCCTTGATTGGGCCCGAAGGCACCATTTTTTCACGTTCCAATGCAAGTGCCTCGCCCTCCACATTCTCACCCGCTTCAAGCTTTACAAGTCAGCTCAGAGCCTTGCCGAGGACGTAGCCCTAAGCGCAACCGATGACAGTGGTGAATTGATCTTTCAATACCTAAAGGATTCGTATCATTTATGCAATTCGAGCTCGGCTGTCTTTGATTTGGTGGTTAAGTCCTATTCTCATGTTAACTTGGTCGATAAGGCCATGTATATTGTTAATCTAGCTAAAGCCAATGGATTTATGCCTGGCGTGCTATCATATAATTCGATTCTGGATGCTGTTTTAAGGTCGACTCGTTCTCTTAAATTGGCTGAGGATATTTATAGTGAGATGATTAAAACTGGGGTGTCTCCAAATGTCTATACCTATAATGTTCTAATTCGTGGTTTCTGTGGGGAAGGAAGCTTAGAAATGGGGTTTCACCTCAAGCGTAAAATGGAAGAATATGGGTGCTTGCCGAATGTAGTTACCTACAATACAATACTCGATGCGTATTGCAAGATGAGGAGAATGGATGAAGCATTTAAGTTATTGAAATCGATGCGGATGGAGGGTGTGGAGGCGAATTTGATTTCGTATAATGTGGTGATCAATGGATTGTGTCGAGAAGGGAGGATCGGGGAAACTCAGCAGGTACTTGAGGAGATGAATAGGAAAGGTTTTTCTCCAGATGAGGTGACTTTTAATACACTTGTCAATGGGTTTTGTAAAGGAGGAGATGTTCACCAAGCTTTAGTTTTGCATGCGGAGATGATGAGGAAAGGGTTATCACCAAATGTTGTTACTTATACTACATTAATAAATAGTATGTGCAAGGCTAAGAATCTAAACCGTGCAATGGAATTCCTAGATCAGATGCGTGTTCGAGGACTCATTCCAAATGGGAGAACTTATACGACATTGGTTGATGGGTTCTGCCAGCAGGGATTACTGAATGAAGCTTATAAGGTTATCAATGAAATGATTGTCAGTGGATTTTCACCTTCGATTATAACTTATAATGCACTTATTAATGGCCATTGCATCTTGGGAAGGATGGAAGATGCAAAAGGAATCCTAAGGGATATGGTTGAGAAGGGGTTATCCCCTGATGTAGTGAGTTATAGTACTATTATATCTGGATTCTGTCGAAATCAAGAGTTGGAAAAAGCTTTCCAAATGAAGCTGGAGATGGTTAAGAAGGGTGTCTCACCTGATACTGTTACATATTCATCACTTATACAAGGTCTCTGTCAGCAGAGAAAATTGGTGGAAGCTTGTGATCTTTTTGAAGAGATGTTGCATGGTGGTCTCCCGCCTGATGAATTTTCTTATACTACTTTGATAAATGCTTATTGTGTAGAAGGTGAATTGAGTAAGGCTCTTCATTTGCACAATGAAATGATACAGAAAGGTTTTCTGCCTGATGACGTTACATATAGTGTACTTATTAATGGACTTAACAAACAAGCAAGGACAAGAGAAGCCAAGAAGCTTCTTCTGAAGTTGTTTTATGACGAGTCCATACCTAATGATTTGACATATAATACTTTGATTGAAAACTGCAGCAATATTGAATTTAAAAGCGTGGTATCTCTTGTCAAAGGATTTTGCATGAAGGGATTGATGAATGAAGCAGATCAAGTTTTTGAGACAATGCTTCAGAAGAGTCATAAGCCTGACGAGGCAGTTTATAATGTTATTATACATGGACATTGTAAATATGGAAATGTTCAGAAGGCATATAATCTGTACCAGGAGATGGTGCACTTGGGTTTTAATCCTCATACAGTGACTGTTCTGGCTCTCGTGAAAGCTCTCACTGGAAAGGGGATGGTTACTAAGATGAGTCAAGTAATACAAAACACATTGAGTAGCTGTAGGCTTACTGATGCTGAGCTGGCTAAAGTACTTGTTGAAATCAACTATAAAGAAGGGAACATGGATGCTGTTTTGAACGTACTAACTGAAATGGCCAAGGATGGCCTGCTACCTAATGGTGGAAACTGTTCACATCCTGCAGCAAGTACCTGATTTCATTGGTTCAATGCCTCAAAACTCGTTACTTGGAAGTTGGAAGTTTGAATTCTCTTTTATTGCTACCATCTGGCATGACTGGGGGTAGAAGCTTGGATTTCTTGTTTTCTTTTCTTTTCTTGGAGCTCCACTATCATTGCAGATAACCTCATTGCCCAGGTAAAACAACTTCCATATATATTTTTGGTCACACCTTATGACATGGAATTTACTTCTGGGGATTAAGATAGATGGCTAATTCCACTAGGCTTCCTATATGGCAATAAGCCATCTTCTTTATTTTTTTTTTATACTCCCTCCATTAAAAAATGTAAGTCATTTTTAACTAAATCTCACTCTTCAATAACATAGTTACTTGTCTCTGAGCTAACACTATTTTTCCATATTTACCCTTATTTAATAGGCTGTTTCACTCTAAAATAAATATAAGGTGATCTTTTCTGAAGAGTGCTTTTGGGGAAAAAAAAACAATGATTATACTTTAAAACACTAAAAATATCTTACATTTTTTAACATCCAACTCTTCAAAACATGCTTTATATTTTTTAATAAAGAACGTATTCCTTTTCTTAGTCTCTTTCTTGCCAACAGAACAAGGGAAAGTAGAAGTTATTGAAATTATATTCTTAAATATATGCTTGAGATTTTGAAGATTGGAAAAGGGGCAAATGAAATATCTGAGGGGGGCACAAATGAAATTTTCTCAGGTGAGGTTTTTTTTTTGGGGGGGGGGTAATTTTTTAAGGGTGGTTCTGTTCTTATTGTATTGCCTTAAAAGCTGCTACTTTTTAAATTCTTTACTGTGGAAGAAGGAAGAGTAGAGCCAGGGAACCACTGCTACATCTAAAATATATCGGGTTGAAGTGGTGGTGAACTAGTAATATCTTATGTTCTATCTGTTTAATAAACTTGATTTTGTAGGTAATGTCCTGTAATAATGAAATGGATAAATTTTTAGTTGGCTAGCATCTTTGCTAATGAAATTGATTTCTACAAGGTGGTTTCTGGGATCCAGCTGGTCCCCTTAAAAAGGAAAATTAATTATTAGGATGGCATTTCTATCTCATCCTACATAACATGACTACAATGGAGGTTATTGAAGAAGGAAAATATTTATATACTTAGCTTTGTATATTTTAGGTACTGGTTTTCAGTCAAATCGAGATATATAAATTTTTTATGTATTGTTTGCTCTAAAACAAACTCTTGTTATTAATATTATTAACACTTCAAAATCCAATTCTTATCTGATTGGACAAAAGTTTATTTAGTTTATAACACCAAGTACCTAAGTCTCCCCCCATCAGAGAATTCTATTTTTAGTTCAAAGCTTTAATTTAATTGACCAAACTAATAGAGACTTTCTCATATTCTGCAATTTCGTTGGCAGTATCATGATGGAGTTAGAGCTTTTGGCTTGTAGAGAAAGGGGGCATATTATAATTTACACACATCCATATGACCTTGCTCCACAAAGCTAGTAATTCAGGCTAAGCCAGACAGATTAGTCTGAACCGGCCCGAAAAAAGTTAGGACTGGGCTTGGCTATATGAGCTTTTTTAAGAAGGTAAAATACTTTAAGCCCGACCATTGAAATTTATAGCTTTATATGTATATAGAGTTTGTAATTTTGGCCAAGCCCGACGGGCTAACTTGAATCCGGCCCAAAAAAGTTAGAGCCAGACTTGGTTGTATGAATTTTTTAAAGGATAGGATACTTTAAGCCTACCCTGCCCGAATTACCAGCTCTATTACTCTGTATGAGAATTTGACAACTGTAGGAACTGAATGGTATGCCCCTGTTCGTTATGTTTAGCTATAAATTCCACAGTAATTCTGCCAAGTGTGTTGATTTCTTTTTGCTGGCATAAAGCATTTTGATATGAAATTTAAATCTATGTGTACTTGGGGATTACTAAGCATACATTGGATGATGACTTGTATGGTTGTCGAGAAAGCTTTCCGGTTCATGTTATTTTCATAGATATGATAGCACCAACAAGCAGTTTACATTAAAATTGTTCCAATGGATCCTTAATTGTGTTTTATTACCATTACCATTACTCTTCCCATTTCATCTTTTTATGAACATCATGTTGAGGTATCAAAGTATACTATATGCTTCAAGGCTTCAAGTTAATGCATATCAGCCCAATGTTCTGTTTGGGACTTGAAAAATGCAAATACAATTATTTCATCCTCGGTTACTTATTTAGCTTTTAATTAGGATGTCTCTATTGACATAATTTCATAAGCTTAAACATGTTTTGCTTTATTTTATGAGTTTCCTGCAATTTTTTTTATAATCAATGCATGAGAAAACTATACTTTTAATATATATATATATATATATGCTCCCTGTGAATTAGGATATAGAGCATTGGTAACTAATCCACGATTCTAAAAAAATATTAGTTGAAACCTTAATTTTTTTCAATTTTACCCTCAATAAATATCCTATACAAGTGTCTTGATAATGATAATTAAAATTTTAATACATCTTTTTTAAAAAATGAGTTATAAATGAAGTTGGGGTATAATAAAAAAACGATGATAAAAGTTATTCAACGTCCTATGTCTTGGATCAAGCAGGACTTTTAGAAAATGCCTTATATTGTGATATGGAGGGAGTATATATGCTATTGATTTGAAAATTTAAATTGGGGTCAAATGATATTTTTTTTAGGGGGGGTACAAATGAAATTTTCTCAGGTGGGGTGAGGGGGTTAATTTTTTTAGGGTGGTTCCGTTCTTATTATATTACTTGAAAACTGCTACTTCCCCTTAAGTAATTCTTTTAAACTCAACAAGAAAACTTACAAAATACTTAAATAATGTGAAAACTATTTGACAATTTATTTCTTTCTAGAATAATATCTGCCATATTTTCTATCATATATTCTCATTGTTGAGTTTAAAAGAATTCACTTGATACATTGATATTGGTTTGACTATGGAAAGCTTTGGAGCTAATGAGTGTCTTTTCTTCTATTGGTGTCTCATCTTGTGCATTGGCTTAAAGTAAACCTTCATGCGTTTTCTTTTTCAGTGAAAAAGTGACCATTCCTCCTGAGAAATCCTCCATGACCGTAGAAGAAGCAGACAACACTATAGTTCAATGGGGTGCTACAGTGTAACTGACTTCCATTTCTTATTGTGTCATGGTGAGGTAATGTATAAGATTCTTTCTTAGTTATTCAATTATTTTGATCATTCAAGTTTCTTTTAGACCATGATTATACAAAATTTTTTTGATTGGCAGATTTTTCCAGATGCTATTTTCTTGAGCAGTTTGAGATTGGCTTCAAAAGAAACATTGTGAAGGGTAAAAAAAAGGTAAACCTCTCATAGAATTCTCATGATAATAAAACTAAACACTCGGAATAGAAATGTAATGTTTTTAAACTATGGAGTGAGTCAAATTAAAACTTCAGTTGATTTATTTTGGGTATGTGATTTTTGGGGTGGTTGTCCTGCTTTACATGAGATTCAAAATTGTTAAATATTCCAGAGCCATCAAGAGTCATTGATGCTGGGCAGTGGGATAGTTTTAGCGATGGAGAGATTAGCTGAGGATTTGGGGATTTCAAAACGGGATTTTGAGGAGAGGATGCACGAACTAGACCAAGTGAAAGCATCCCCGTGGACGGTGTTGTCTATGTTGCCATGTGCCTCCTTTTATGTTTGCATTATATTGAGGAAATAAAGGATAAGAAATTAGCTGAGGCAGGTGTTCGGTTCGCTCTGTATAATTGCATAGCAGAATATTGTTTTCCACCTCTTACAACCGTGTATCAAGGTTTTCATGCCTTAATTTGATCTAATGAATTTACTGCAATAATAGCTTGGTTACACTGTGACCATGATTTTGTTATAGCAGTTAAGGAATGAAGTAAACGAATTGCTGTATATATAATATGGAGCGGATTACACAGGCTTAACCCTGACTGTGTGCATGATTTTCTTAGCAACATGAAGAAGTGATTTTTTTTTTTGGCAAAATAAATAAATAAGTGAGCTTTTGAATTTAGAAGTTCGGAATAGTTTAGGTGTGGCTTTCAGTAGATCTCTTTAAAATGCATCCTATGAGGAGTATATAGGAGTAGGAGAGATTTCAAGTAGCCAATGAATAATATTAGAAGCATTATATTAGGCAACGCATCAATGGGAAGCATTTCTTTCTCTTTATCAAGAAATTTGGTTCCTTTTTTTATTTTTAGGTATTATAAACTGGAATTTGTTTAGATAAGGAAAATAAAAAATATAGTTGAATGTAAAGAACATGAATTTCTTGATATATATATATATATATATATATAAAGCATGATATTAATTAAATAATGATGTCACTAGCATGTAACTAATATATGATATAAATTTATTACTGAATATTGACTAAAGTAAATAAAGATTAAAATTATGAAAAATAAAATGGTGGTCATTATTTATTTATAAATTTTTGTATTTTTTTTATTAATTTTCAACTTTTATTTTATTATTATTAACACTATTAAGCATAGATAAAATATGCCTAATACTCTTTCTAATTTAAATTATAAGAGATTTTTAGATAAAATTTTATATCCTAATAAACCTCATTAAATATATTTAACAATTTTATTGTTTCAAAATAAAAACATAAACTTTTAAAAATATCATTCATTTAATAATCTTAAATTTATACTTAATTAGTATTAAATAGAAAAAGAAAGAATAATATTAAAATAAATCTATTTAATGAAATCTTAAATTTTTTTAAAGTGTTTTATATTTTAAAATGACAAATCTCCTTCAAATATGTTTTATAATTTGGGATGAAAGGAGCACAATATAATCAAGCACTATTATAATATAATATTTGCTTGTTAACAATATTTTATCAAAATATATTTAATAAAGTGATTGAAATATGCTTGTTTTTTAGGTTTTAGTTTAAGATTACAATCCGTTTTTTTTTAGTTACTCAAGATAACATTATTATCTAATTAAACAATTTGATATTTTGACGGATGAAAAAAAAATTATATTGTCTTTTATCTAAAAATTGAAAAATTATAATAAAATAGGATGAGTTGATAACAAATACTCCTTCCATTAAAAAAATTTAACGTATTTTTAATCTTTTAAGATGTAATTATTATCTATTTTTTAAAAATATCTCTATTAATTAATGACTTTATATTTATTATAGAGTGTTTAATAGGGATAAATATGAAAAGATAAGATTAATTTAAAAGTAAATAATTATTTTATTAAAAAGTAAAATTTAATTAAAAATATTATCACTGCATTGCTCCTCTCCGGCTCTCTCTAGAGTTGAAAGAATAGGTTGAGCCTGCGAGCAAGCCTGTTTATCCTGCACAATTTGATGGGTTGAGTTAAAAAAATTAGCCTGTTTTTTAAAATGGGTTGGGTTAATCCAACCCACAAAATTAGTGGACTAAAAGGGCTAGCCCGCGGGCTAAATAGGCTAGCATATTTTAAAAAAAATTATTTTTAATTACATTATATTTTTTTATAAATTTATAATAATGATAATATTTTTTAAATATATAATGTATGACTTTCAAATATGTTCTTTGCATTTAAAATATAGTGTAAATTCTTTTTACAATTTGCAAATAAAATTTTTATTATATTTTGTGAAGATAATTTATTAGTTTTTATAGAGATATTTTAAATATTTATTATTTATTAATCTCATAAGATCTATTCATTAAAATTATAAATATAAATTTATTGAGAAAAATAATATTAATTTATATTTAAATTTTCTTTTTCGATGATAAAGATAGCACATTTAGGTGATAAAATGATTGATAATAAAAATCAAGTAAAATGAATTTGCTTGGTTAAATTTTATGTTTATTTTATTTATTTATAAATTTTTTAATTGCTTATTTGCTTTAAAATATAAAATAAATATATATACTTATATTATATAAATTTTAAATTGTTAAAAAATTTAATAATTTTTCGTGGGTTGGTTAGCCCGCTAAAAAATAAAATAGGTTAAATTTTTTAACTCACTTTATCTGACGGATTGATCCAATCCAACTTATATGCAAACTGACCCGTAACTCGTTTGTCCAGTATTAGCTCTCTCTAATCATTTCCATCTCTCTATTAATCTGTAATTTTATTTTAGTTGATTTCATTTCCCATCAGCACGTTTTATATCTTAAATCTAAATTTAAAATTTAAATCAAATGTTAATTGTACAAATCTATATTTTCAAAAACTTTCTTGTCTGGATTATCAAATCTCATGTAAAAGCGAGCACTCGCCATCATCTTCATCATTCCCCGGACGTCTAGGTACCGCCGGCGGGGATTGTAATCTCAAATCTCTTTCTCATCTTGTAACGGCTCCGCATAGCTCTTTCTTTATAGACGCCGTAACTCCTGGTGGTCATATCCCTGGCCCCTATTGTAGTACGTCCGATCTAACTTGTTTGATTTGCATCTTCGAGTCGAAAGTCAAGTCTGATCGGTCGAGCAGCTTTATTGGGAACTAGTACACAAATCTCATATGGCTCAGAACGAAGGAAACTTTATCAAAGAATTGCGAGATGCTGAGGGAAAGAATTTCTCTGACGCTCAACCCCATAACGAACGACAGTCTGTGTAAAACGAATTAACCAAACCCTACTGCCTCCGCTTCTTAACTTATCCAATTTCCTTCCTAAATCTCGGTGTCTGCTATTGCCACCTCCTTACTTTCTTGCCCGACTCTCCGATCGGCAGCCCTAATTTGCACAATGACTGAGGTAAACTGCTTAACGCTTGCAATTTTTATGCTTTGTTAACTTCTTTCTGTAATATTATTTCTTCATTTTTTATGGGTTTTCCCTCTTTATGGACAAATAAGCTCTCCAAATCTTATACCTTTAAGGTCTGTTATAAAACCTTGCTTGAAGTTCAACTGACATAAAGAAGCCTAGGAGATGTATATTTTGGTTTTTCCTTCTCATTGGGCGGGAAGCCACCAAGTTTACTTTGAACTATTGTAGATCATACTTTGTTGTTATAACTGGTTGAATCATTGAGCTTTTATGACCATAAAACTAATTTTCTAACTAATTAGCAAACGATAATTTTTAGCTACATATCTTTGATTATGAAAATTCCTAGGGTAGAATTTATCATAATAGCGCACTTATGGAGATGTATCATCTTGTTTGATTCTGATATGCCCAAGTTGGACTGTTTGTCATTGTTTGCTTTTGTTCATTACTCCTTTCCTGTTTTCAGTATTGGGTCAGCCAGGGCAACAAATGGTGTGACTTTTGCAAGATCTACATATCAAGTAATCCTGCTAGCATTAGAAATCATGAACTTGGTCAACGTCATAAAGATAACGTCTCCAAGAGGCTCGCTACCATGAGAAAAGAGAGTGCTGCTAAGGAGAAAGAACAAGAAGAAGCAGCACGTGCCCTCGAGCAAATTGAAGCGGTAAGAGACTAAGAGTTTTACACTTCATTTACAGCCTTGATTTTTTTTTTTTATTCATTTTATGAAACAAATGAATGAAAATTCTCAGGACTTGCAAGGTTTTGCCGCAGGAAAATATAATAATGCCATATTTTCATAAACAATGTTTGTCTATTTCACTTATTAAAAACGCATATTTCGAGTCAAAATTCTATAAATCAAACAAAATTATTCAATCTTTGTTTGTCTGGTTGATTGAACTATATAAATTGTACCTTATTGCAAAATGGCATTCATGTTATAGTCTGCAAGTGCAATGCCACTAGAACGTTGAATATCCTCATTAATGAGACTCCACCCTATCTAAACAGTTTTCTATCAAATTCCTAAGGATCTTTGAGGTGTCTATGGGATAATAGATTGCAGGTAGGATATGATGTGGGTAAAGTTCCTTTGGTGTTTGCCATGAGTTTTCCGAATAAAAAATATGCCAAGTAGAGAAGCTTTATTTACAAAAAAAAAAAAAAAAAGTCCACTCATATAATGTTAAGTTATAAAATATCTCTACTTGTCATGTTTTACCTTGAAATTTGGTAGCTAATTCCTAAAAACTGTACCCAACTTTTCTCTTTATATTTAGCATATGCAACCTATTTCCGTAGAACACGTATTTGACTTTTGCATTTTACTTCTTACTTTTACAAGTTTGTCCATTGCAACAGGAAAGTTTAAACTATCATTTGACCAATTAATCGAAGTTAGTTGAAATCTGATGTATTAGATATTTGGGACTGCACCAAAATGAACGGGAAAAATATGCATTGCAGATAGCTTGGCAGGCATGATATGAAGAAATACATGTAGCAAGCTGAATGATTATGCACTTGAGCAGTAATATATATATATATATATTGTAACAGATAAGAAATACCTGTGTGCTTGTAATGGATATATTCACATTTTTCTCTTTATTGTGATTATCGCCAGACTAGTCATATTTTCAAAAAATATTTTTGAAGTCATCCCCTCATCATTTGTACTTTGCTTGAAAATACAGCCACACAGGTGTCCTGTGATTTTTCCTTGGTGCACCACATATGATGGTTGGCATGAAATCTACTGTTTTCACTTCTATCGATATTTACATACTCTAATTTAGCTATAAGAATATTTGGTGCACATGCACACATTTTCATATATGTTACTTGTTAATGTACGCATGTCTTTGTATTTTAATGCAGAAAGCACAGCGTAGCTATCAAAAGGATGTAGCGAAGTTTGAGGCAGCTAGAGAATCACATGCACCAGATGTCCAGGGGGACGGTCAAGGTTGTGAGAAAAACTATTCATTTATCTTCATAGGAGTTATAATGACGATTAATCTGCATGGTCTGAAGCAAGTTATATTCATGTGTTGGCTCTATTAATTGAGCCATATTTTTTAAGCTTAATATATTTTTTCTTTAATTCTGTACAATTTTGAAAAGGGCTAAAGGAGTTATATACAATTGAAAGGTACCTAATAAACTTAAAGAGAAGTTTTATCAAACTATTATAAGACTAGTTATGTTATATGATGGTGAATGTTAAACTCCAAAAGGATAGTAGGAGCATAAAGTTGGAGTAGTAAAGATAAAAATGTTGAGATCAATGTGTAGGCATGTATGAAAAGATGAAACCGGTAATGAGCATATATGAGAAAAAGTGAGCCTAGCATTTTGCATTTTTTAAAGGAAAAATGGTAAAAAATTGTTTGAAATAATTTGAATATGTACAGAGAAGGCCATGAGAGGCACCAGCGAAAAGAATGGAGTGGATAATATTGAGCCTTGTAAAAATGGGTAGAGAAAGAACAAGAAAAAACGCTTATGAAAATTATTAAATAAAACCTCTTAATTGACAATATTCCTGAAAACTTAGTTGATGATAAAGTACAATGACATTGTGCAATCCATATAGTTGATCCCACCTAGTGGGATAAAACTTATTGTAGTCGACTTTTGTACAATTTGAAAGATGATTCTGTCTTGCTGATCTCTTCAGTGTTTGTTAATATTGTGCTCATAGCAGAGAAAGGGCTTGGGGGAAACAGATGACTCTATCTTTACCCAACAAAAATCTTTTATTGGGTTTTTGTCAATTGGATATGCCAAAATCAGCTTTTAGGTTAAAGCCTAGTTGTCAACAATTTGTTGTGAAGAAACGCTAGTCTGATTGTATCTTATATGTATGTATTTTTGGAGATCTTTTACCAAATTATCTATCGAGCATTTGACCCACTGTGAATGTCAGTCTGTTAGTGGTGTGTCGATATCTCTTTACCTTGGTTATGGCTTAATTGAAACTGATTGTTGCTGGCTGATTTTACAGAATGGGAGTTCGACAGCAGTTCAGGCTATTATTACCATCAGACAAATGGTTTCTATCATGATCCGAAGTCAGGATTCTACTATTCTGATGCTATAGGTACAAGACGCATACACTGTTCCATATATTCTGTGTTTGGTTTCGTCATTTTTTACAAAGTGATTCATGTGTGATAGTATCTTAGCTTTATTATAATGGCGTACTTACTTAGAGAAATTGCTGCAGGCAAGTGGGTGACTCAGGAAGAAGCATATGCTTCACCTCACTTTTCTGCTAATGCTGCGCACAAGGGACCCGCTGTTAAAAAACCGACGTCAGCTTCACTATCCAAATCAGTTGAAGATGGAAGGGCAAATAAGTCTCAAAGTGGACCTGCACCTGGACCAGTAGTGTCACCTTCAAACCCGATGAGATCTACCAAAGCAGCCCCTTCATCTCTTGCGTTGGGAAAGAGAAAGAAAGCACCAGATGCAAAATCCAAGGTTATGTCCGAAGAAGAAAAAGCAGCTCTCAGGGCAAGAGAGGCTGCAAGGAAAAGAGTAGAAGCGAGGGAAAAACCCCTGCTTGGGCTCTACAGTAAGCCTTACTGACCAATGACCATGGAAAATACTGATACGTGGATTTTGATGGTTATAATTTTCACATTCAAGTTCAACTGGACTTTTCTTAGATAGCTAGAACCTACCACTTCATCTATGAATCACAATCATAAGTGAGCAGAACACCAATAGCATGTACAGCTTTTGATGAGGTAGACCACTACGATTCATGGTTGAGGTTGTAAGCTCTATCTACCCGAGAATGTCTCATTTCTTCCTTGTAACTCGGGTTGTAATCAATGAGGATTCTCTGATTCCTTGTGCTTGTTTCGTTACTGCACCCTGTATGCTGAAGTGTAACTTATGATTCATTCTTTTGTAGTACATGCCAAACTCTCAGTTCTTGAGTGAGGAAGGCCTTGTTACAACGAGTGGTAAAATAGATGCAATCGGGATGCACATGCGCTTGCTTGGTTAAGCCAAAATAAATTTTTCCAGGGTAATTTTATTTTGCCTGCGAAGTGAGCTATACATAATAAGCCTGAGTAAGACTTTGGTAAATTAAATCAAGACACATTATATGTATGTTCTTAACAAAAAGCAATGACGTGATATATCTTAATAACTTTCATTTTTTTAAAAAAAATCAAAACAGGAAGCCATAGGATTAAATATAATGAGGCCTTGCATGGTTCACCCTATCATCAGCAACCACCTTATAGTACATAGGGGATGGATGATAGAACAGATACCACTTGCACTTACATGAGCCAATATGGCTTGTACTGACATTCTTAAATTGGATGATTTATGAATGAATTGTCCTAATTTGAAAGTGATAAAGAGGAAGAAATAAATAGTTAATAAGAAATATAAAAATTTATAGTAACTTGTGCTATTTATAAATGGCAAAGGAACTTGCATGCTTCCTCCACTTCTTATTATAGATCATCTTCTAAAAGAATTTTTTATTTTTTAATGCAAGGCACTTAATGGGGGTATTAATTACGTATCTTTTTAATGTTACTTCTCTTTAAACTAATTGACTTTAAAAGAAAATATTTCACAAATTTAAAATATTTTCATTTAAATAAAATTAAAACTAAATGTTTGTTATATTTTCAAATAAAGGTTAATGATTTACCCGCCTTCTAATTTCAGTGAGGTAGTTTGATGTGGTTTAGATGAGAGCACGTATGGCTAATTTCTCATAAAATTCAATTGATTATGGGCCTTCAATAACAAACTAACATGCTTGTTAGGATTCCAACAGCTGGCACTTGTAGGAGAAGGATTACCATGGGAAGATGCACGTTGTTTTGTTGGAGTGTGAACAGAATTGAGGGCGCGAAGAAGAGGATGCGTGGTTAGTAATGACTGAGCCGTCCTTCAATCATAATGGTCTACCATTTCGGCTGACGGTGTTGACTTTTCTTGCTCATGTCGCTTGTCACATATACCCTATACCCCTAGTAAATCTTTGATTCTACAGGGGCTGATCTAATTTGCCTATTTAGCATTTATGTAATATAATAATTATTATTATTATAGAGAAATATAAAAGATGGTTTATTAAAAAAAAAAAAAACCCATGCATCATTGCTTGTATTTCTATTTTTAAATTTTCAGATATAACTATAATAAATATATAATTTCGTAATAATACTATAAAAACATAATGTTTATTAATAATTATATCATTTTAAATCCAGTGACATATTTATCATGTTTTTACTGAAGGAAGTCAGACACATAAGTGCATTTTTATTTTTATTAAAGTTTTAACAAAACTATCAATATTTCCCAGGGAAGTTCAGCACTTGAACTTGCAAAACACGCTAATATCTAATACCATACAACCATGTCAATTATCCATTTTCTTTTTCTCTTTTCATATTTTTTTAAATTTCCTTTGCTTTTTGAAAGCAAAGGTTCCTACTTCCTAATGCAACGAACTCTCCCCACCCACAATGACACCATTTGAACATCAAGTCGGAAGCAGAATCGTCAGACAAAATCTTGAGGAGGAAAACAGTCAAATAAAGCGTTTCTATTAAAGATAATGAAGCAATGATCCAAGTTGATGAGAACTAAGTAACAAAAAGTAACAAATTTGGTGAGAACATATTCATTTTTTATCTTTCAGCTTGAGAAAAGAATTAATTAATTATTGTAGCACGCACATTAACTAGTGCGATGGTCTTGATTCTGCGTCTGACATTTAGACTTTCCATGCTTCTTTTTTTACCCATTCAATTTGAATCACCAACATCCAAATTAAAACCACGCATTTAGACGGTGAGTTTAATAATAAGGAAGATGACCAGCATGATGTCTCACTAATTAATTAATTAATCAAGATCCCAGTACATACGTTGCATAATGCGCTGTACTCCCTCCGTTCCTGAATATATAAAAAAAAATTGACCAATTTATAACGTTTAAAAAAATTAGTTAAGTATACTAATTATATTTAAAAAAAATTAAACTAAATTATCTCTGTTTGGAAAAACAAAAAAAAAAGGACTAAGTCATTCTTGTAATTAATTAAACAAATTTGTCTAATAAAAATGAACATTGACTTTGTATGGGACAATTTGGGAAAACGTGATAAATGCTTTGCAAAATTTATAATTTTATTTATAGATAAAAAAGAAAAACATGATAATTTTTCTTATATCCCAAAATGGGATAGTATAATTTTAGTTAGGATGTCCATATGATTTTATTGTGTTTTATTGCTAGTCCTTGTATTTTTTTTTATTGCTCCATGTCTATATATTTTTCTCATTTAGAATGTTAGTCCTTTTCTTTTTAAAAATGTTCAAAAAGATGATAATGTGACACTAACGGTGTTAAATTGTCTGAAGCGTAATTTATAGTCTTGTACTGAATATTAAGATAAGAAACAAAGAGACAAAGTAATCGCAAAATACAAGGTAATGAAAATCAGTTGAAAGGAACTAAATACTATACCCAACTAAAAAATGATAAAATAAACTCCAACACTAACATTAATCAAAAATAATAATCAATAGTTTCAAAATTAAAAAAATAAAATAGAGTATCTTGGCGCTGCAAACAAAAGCAAGATAGAGGCGAAGAGATTAGTTTGAAATCTATAGAAATGAACAAAATAAAACCTAATATTTGTTTGACGCATAGTAAAATGATATTAGTTACTGGTCAGATAATTTTAGTGTTATATCATCATTCCTATTAGCATATTTAAAAATACAGGTACTAATATTATAGATGAGACAAACTATAAGGACTAGGAGCAATGAAAAAAGTATGGTGGCAATAATAAAATATGATAAAATTATAAAAAAATTAAGAATTATGTTTTCCTATTTTAATTTAAAGTAAAGGTGGTGATAATAATATGCATGACTTGAGGGCTCAAACTATCATGGTGTACACATTACCATATAACAATATTGTACGCCATACAATGAATAAAGGAAAACGAGAGTACCATGACATTATTACATTAGTGAGCATGTAGGCGCATATTGATTATCTAGGTGGTCCTCAATTCCCTTATTTTCCCTAACAACATTCCCCACACTTCAGAAAGGATTGATGGCCACGTGCACGCCACGCCGCCGACCTTTCTTTCTTTCTCTTTTTATCTTTGTATTTGAAACATTGAAAAAGTCAATTATTTTTAGCGAAAAATATCAATTAATGATAGTTAAAAGAAATTTATACTAATCAAAGATCACTTATTATCAAAACTTAATTAAATACTTATTGATTCAGGTTTATCATTTATTAATAAATATCTATTCAAATTTTAATAAAATTAATAATAGTCTTTTGAAGTTTGTTTTTCATTCATGTTTTAATAATAACTCATTCTCGATTGATTTTTTTTATTTTTAGTTCCAAAAATTAATGCAAAAATATTGTTTTTAAGAAATTAATTAAGTCATGAACCATGTAACATACTTAAAGTCTTAATATACAATAAACAACATAGATGCTCTATTGTTTATAAGTCATTACCATATAGTTTTACCAAACCAGTTAACTTGTTTTTCTTTTTCTTTAAACACCTTAATACTAATCAAACAATTATGATGAAAAGCAGCTATGCACTAATTAAGAATTTAGGAAAGAGGTTAGGTGCAATAAGTATGATTAAGATAGGGTCCATGGGTGATTAAGGAGAGATTGAGAAGGACACAAATAGAGGAATCAAACTGCTACTTCATCGAGGAAAGGAATTATGCCAATTGTGTCTCATAATTGACTTATCCTTTTTGATTGTTTTGAAAGTACTTTCAAGAGGGAATAGGCATCTTTTTCCCATGTTCACTGGCTTTCCTTTAGTTTAGGGATAATTTTATTATTTTAAAGGAAAACATGGGATTAACATTGAACGACTGATTAAAAAAAAAGTTGGGTTTTAATCAAGTAAGATAACTATGTATTGTTCCTAGTATATCGTAAGATATAGTACCTTTATTGGTGTTAAAAAATCGAAGTAAATTATCCCATCCTAGTGAATCATACCCTCATCTCAACATTTTATAAAAGGGAGGAGGAGAATAGAGACATTATAAATGCTTTAATGACAATTAAATACCTCAAATTATTGAAATTTCATGAAAAGATCATAAATAAATAAATATTAAAATAACCAATGGGATGTTACTCGTAAATATAAGTAAACTTAGTTGTGAATTTAAGCAATATTACTTGTGTGTTAATGAAAAGTCAATTGTAAATGGATAAACACATAATTTTATAAATTTATGCATCATCATTTATGAATTTAAGGATAGTTATTTGTAATTTTAAAATATAAATAGTAAATTTATAAATAGATAGTCTTATAAATTATGCATCATTTGTGATTTAAGGATAGTTAGTTGTGAATTTAAGAAATATTACTTGTAAATATATGAAATGTAAGTTTTGAATGAATATGAATAGTTTTAATTATAAATCAATGGTTTAGGGACCCTTTTATGTTTTTAATTGTCCATTCACAACTGACTTTTTGATAAATTCACAAGTAGCTTTCCAAAAATTCATAAGTAATTTTCTTTAAATTCATGAGTGATTATATATATATATATATATATATTTACGAAAATATTTATTCATTCGTATAATTGATAGCTTTCCTTATATTCACATATGATATTTCTTAAATTCACAACCAACTCTCCTTAAATTCATGAATGACTCTTCTATAGTTTTATTGATTATTTTAATAATTATAATTATAAATATTTTAATTGCAAATAAAGACCATTATCCTTTTATGGCATTTTAATATTTTGAAATCTTTAATCATCATTAATATCTTTATAAGGTTCCTGATTGTCATTTTCCCTTTACAAAAATAAAAGTGTGGGTTTCTTTGAATTGAACTATAGTTAACTTTTAATTGACTT